TCTGATTTTCTGTAACTCCTGTGGGGCTGGGATGTTCTGGTTGCTTCATTAAATACCTGCAGGGTGATATTTGGGTCGTTTTGTCTGGAAAGAGCGTGTCTAGAATGCAGCACAACAGGCCCTTCAGGTTACCTGAGCACAGGTAGTGTTTATGGTAAAGAGCAGCTCGTGATCCAGGATGTTTTTCATACCGTGGTCATCTCCTGTGTTACATTTCATGTTTTCCTAGCAGGAAAACTCTGGGAATAACTGTCCTGGGAATTGGAAAGCAAATCAGTAATGGAATGAATTGATGAATGGGATGAGATTTCTCCCTGTCAGCAGCAGAATTACCAAGGGTGGCTGTGAYGGTGGCTCCCAGTCAGACAAACGTGCACCAGAGGAGTTCAGGGCCTCCCTGTGCCCATAACACAGAGCAGCTCTACAGGAGATTCAGCAGAGCAAAGGCACAGCCAGCCCCACAGCTCACTATTAAATATCGTCTCAACAGCATTATCTCCTTCACTGCTGCTCTTTTGGAGGATTCAATGTGAAAGYTCCTCCATCTGACTTCTGAAAAACATCTCTGCTGCTGTTCTGCATGGCTTCTTGCTGGCTGAGAATGATTTTTGCACTTGAAAATCTTCTAAATCAGATAAATACTCACATATCTATTACCTGGATGTCACACGGGATGTGGGAGTTTTACAGAAGCATTCTCTAATCGGTTCATTTGGCTTGTCCATTGGAATTTTGTTAATCCTGGTTGTTTTCTGGTATTTTTAAAGCCATGAGAAGACTACAATTAGTTTTTGTTTTGGTTTGTTTTTTTTTTCAGAGGAAAATGTTGTCATTCCTCTTTCCTGGGGAGGAAAAAAGACAAAGTACACAGCAAAAACCAAGTAGAACTAGATACCAAATGGAAGTATTTGTAAAATAACCATTAAACATAGGAACAGTGTTCACGTTTTGGTTTTCAATACTGCAGGAGTAAAATTGGCACAGAAAATGTTTCCTTCCTTTTAGTATTTCTAATATAAATTCATCTGAAAATTGAAAATCATTGTTTCTACAGTAACAGAAAATGTTGTTAAACTGAACAAGATACCCGTAATTTGCTTAAGTCACATGTGAAGATGTGAACTTTAAAACTATAATGAAATGCTTCATTATGTTTTATACCCAAAATCTGAGCAAACCTAGAAATTCTCATGTGGTCAATTCAGAAATGGTTTTGAATAGTTTTATTCTGGAATCATTGATTCCTAGCTGGTTTGTATAAAGAAATGCTGTATTATCAGCATGGTATCCAGAAATAGAGRCACCAAACAGCTGATTTGTGATTATTTTAACCTTAGATGTTCTTACAGTAATTTATTGCAGTGACATCTTCAGGATTCCTTTAATAACCTTGAATTTCTGTCATCTTTGAAAAAAAACTATTAATCAATGTCTCCATACAGCGAGTCACAGTGCTGCTGCTTTGTTTTTGACTGATCCAATCCAATACGTGCAGAATGAAAACCAAATATTTGAGTCCTTTTGTTAGCATGAGGTGTGGTAAGAATCCCTTACGCTGTCTTTTCACAGACATCACAGGAAGGCACAGAAATACAGCCCCCACAGCTGGGAAAGCACAGAATTTGCTGTGTTTTTTACAGCCCTGAGGGAATCCAAGATGAGGTGGAAGCCACGTGTTGTCCTGCTCTCTCCATCTTGCCCTGCTCTTGGAGAAGGTTACATCCCTCAAGAGAGTTGGGCTTTCCCTACCTGGAGGCCTCAGAGGCAAAGACTGTCCCATCTGTGCTTCCAGGAAAATTTCCTGAGTCCTCCTGGGTCCTGCCAGACTGGGAGTGGATGTTCCATCCCTGTCAGTTGTACAGAACCAAAGCATTGTCAGTTCAGATTTGAGAATACACAAAATTTGCTGATTTCAGTGGAAGTAAAGCACTAAAAATGTAMAGACCAACCTCTTATTTTGAGTAAACCCCACACACTTCAGGTACTAAACTTCAGGCACTTCACCCTGTCAGCACTTTCTGCTGCAAGAGAAGCCTTTACATGTACCTGTGTGTGTATGTATAGGTCATCTCTAGGTATCTTTGGGGACATCCAAAATTAAATTACAACAAACASAAYTATTTTTAAAAGCTGAAAGTAGACCTTTTCTTTAATGGAGGGACTATTTAGCAAAGCCTGAAGCTGAGAACTAATGTTGGGAGTCGTGGGATGTTAACCTCTGGAAGGGGTGGAGTTGATAGGCTTTTGACTAAAGATTTGTAAAAGGCTGCTGACTGCAGATTTTATTACCTTACAGCAGAAACATGAGTAGGATAAAGAGGAATTACTTTGTGACCTGCAGTAGCTGATTGGTGCAGCCACAATTCCTTGCTTTTCTCTTTAGAGTAATCTCGGCACTTCTATCTCCTCTGTTCTCAGCACATGGAATGTGTGTGTGATGTGGACAGACACACAGAAAAATCAAATTAGTAGGGACAAAACAGCATGACTGGAACACAGTTCCTCATATTCAGTGATGGTTAGAATGACAGGTTACTTTCTAATTATTTTATATTATTTTGCTTCTTCTAAAATGTAATCTAAASCATCCAAACCATCACAGTTCTAGGCTAGAAATACTTTGACCACAACACCACTGTGGCATTTTTTGGTAGACTTTGTTGAAATGATTTGACTGTGCTGACTGGAAAACAAGATTTCTGATAAGGAATACTACAACCTCGTAGATTTTGGAGGCTGTGCGTAGCAAGCCAGACCTCTGGACTTGCCTGCTTATCTGAGTCTTTGTAAGCTGTGAGATATCTGTACCCAGTGAAGTTCATGCACATTCTGGGTTATAATGGTACAGGAGTTTTACAGAATTACTGGTGTTACACATCATCAACTTCTCCAGAACATCCCAGCCATGGGCTGAGTGTGAAAGGAAATCCAGCTCAGCTCTAACTCGCTGTTCAGCTCACAGGGGTCTGCAAACAGAAGCTTTTTATCTTGAAAAGACAAAATTATAAGGTTTTGAGGTTGTGAGAATGTTTTTATAGAGGTTTTATGGARGATGCAGGAAAACTTGTTACTTTTTCAGTGAGATGAGTGGCAAGGAGGTGTCTGTGGGTGTGGGTCCTCCTGCCCTGTGATGATGTGGTTTCTTGCAGTTGTTTTTGTGCACACAGCAACCTCATGGGTGCCTTTAGCTGATTCCTGGGAATCCCCAGGATGAGCTTGGGACAGAACTGGGAATGTGCCTGTAGCCATCCTTCCKTCACGTTTAAGGCAGCACTCCAGATAGAAAATAATAACCCTGATGTCACTTGCTTATATATATAAGTATATAAAATATAAACAGATTTAAATGTCAGCTGTCTGTTATTTTTATATTTTTGAAAGATGKGTCTGGTCATTACACTAAATGGGCTCTTAAGAAGGAGTCTGTTCTGGTTTGTTGCTTTGTTTGGAAATGAGTTTTAGGAAGACAGTTCCCAGTGTTGATGGCCAGGGATTTGCACTTCATACTCACAGAAAAATTCAGAGAATCAGAGAATAGTGAGTTGAAAGGGACCCCCAGGGATCATGGAGTCCAACTGCTGGCCCTGCACAGACACCCCAACAATCCCACCCTGGCAGTGCTGTCCCAACGCTCCTGGAGCTCCTGGAGCAGCCTCGGGGCCGGGACCATTCCCTGGGGAGCCTGGGCAGTGCTCGTGGTTTGAGTGCTGAACTTGAAACTTGACCATTTGGAAGACAATCTCTAACTCTGAGCTACTGTGATGAGCTGTCATGTATTTTCTCGAAAGAATTGTCACTTGTGGCAATTAGAAATCCTGTTATGTCCTTGCAGACAGATCTTTCATTAAAGATAACTGGAGACTCTCTCCCATCCAGTGGGATGGGGGGTGGCTGGGGTCCAGTAGCACCTCTTCGTTCCCTCTGCTGTGAGAATCTCCCATCTCAAATTTAAGAATTAAAAAATGCCCTGCAACCTTTGTTGTCAACATTCAAGGCAGAAGAATTGAAGGGCTGAGCTGGGAGTCCTGAAAGGTGGAAAATGATTGTGACAATCCCAAGGGAAGGCAAACAGAACCTTTTCTAACAGAGCTAAAGGGAGTGCACTCACAGCTTCACTCACCTGGCAAAACACAGGACGAGCTCCAAATTCCAGAGCACTTCTGTTCCAATATCTTCATTTTGCAGCAGCARTTTTGGCTGTGTGACAGGCTAGTTTTGATTCAAAGCAGATCAAATCAAAGTTTCTGTTATCTAGAGGTTAAAGGCCTCTTACTTGATTGGGTCTAAAGTCCAAATGAAACAGCCAAAGTGACCAAGCTATTTTAGTTCTGTAACATCTCTTCTATTTTTAGGTTAGAATGTTCTTTTTATAAATCGTGGAAAATTAAACACAGACCCTGGTTATAAAATAGTCTTTGCACTTGCTGTGACTTACAAACTTTTTCATAGTTGAAATATGTCTAAATCAAGGSTTTGGGTTCAGCTCTCTGTCAGAAGAGGACTTGGAAAAACATTTCCTATCTCAGTCTAAATTCACTCCATTTGCAGAAGATTTTTGCAGATTGAAGTTTCTTATTTGTTTACCACTTTCAAGATTTGCATAAATATACATGGAATTTGAAAAGTCATAACTTACATTTCATTTATCCTTGGGGTTAAGACTGGGATTAAACTTTTGGCAAACTTGAATGAGCAAAGTTTTCAAATATTTCTGGTTGTTTGTAGGAAAACCACCCCTCTTTCATACCAGCTACTTTGAGGTTTTTTCTTAAAATAAAAATCCTTAAGATTTTCAGGCACTTGGGAAGAATGACAATCAGAATTTGCAAAACTGACAATGTGGAAGACTTCTAATTTTATTCATATTCATGCGATGGAGGGAGGCAGGTCAAGTTTGCCTCTCAGCCCTCTGGCCATGGGACTCTTGGAGCTCAGCCTGGGGCTGAACACACTGGAGATAACCAGCTGCTAAAATGTCTCTTTTCTGTTGTTGCTCACAGGAATTACAATGGTTGACACAGAAATGCCGTTTTGGCCCATGAATTTTGGAATTAGCCCCGTGGATCTGTCAGCCATGGATGATCACACACATTCCTTTGACATCAAGCCCTTCACCACTGTTGACTTCTCGAGCATTTCCTCACCGCACTATGAAGATCTCCCTCTTGCCAGAACTGACCAGTCAGGCCTGGATTATAAATACGATATCAAGCTCCAGGATTGCCAAAGTAAGTTTTTCATTTTTTGAAGTGTTTCCTCCATGCCCATGTTTCCTTCATTCCCTGGAACGTGTACTAGCAGCGAATGGATTCAGAAGAATTCAGCTCTCCTGTRTCAGCAGAGATGTCCTTGCAGGGCAGGTAGAAAACACAGATTRCTCACAGCAGACTTTCACCCTTCCAGAGCAACAGCTGCAGTTAGGAAGGGGATTATAAAGCACCCAAAATTATATAAAACACATTTTATTGGACACCCTGCATTGCCTCCTATTCGTGTACCTTGTGTGCAGCTCAACGCTTCAAACTGAGCAGTTCAAAAACAATGCAGAATAAATATCCTGGATGTTCAAGCATGCATGTGTAGCATATTAATTATTAATATGTGCAGCTTTTACATTCCAAACAGCCTGAGAACTGATGGAGTAGGAATAGTGGCTACAGCTGAGTCACAGCATTGTTACAACTCTTATCACAGCTCCTGGATTATTTACTTGCTGTGAAACAYGCTGCTCTTTCATCACTTACAGTGAAAAAATGACACAAAACTCTCCTTCAAAGAAAGGAAGTGACTTATTCCTAAATAAATTGTTACTGCATTCCTGCTCAGGGTAGGAATGTGAGGTTGCTGTGCCTGGAACTCTTTTGAGGATCTGCTTTTTCTTAGCTCTGACATCACTTTTATTTGTAGTAATCTGTACAGGAACTCTTTCAAGGAATTCTTGCTGGGAAAATTGTGCTATTTAATTTTGGTTTTACAGTGAAGCAGGTGCTGTGTATTTCTGCATTATCGATGCAATAAATGAATGGACATTTTTCCAGATAACAATTTATTTTTCTTTTGTTTAATTAGAAATATTCATAACACTTAATKGTCAAGCAGTTATTAAAGAGTTTAGATGRCATAAATCCACCTCATMTTTACTTAAATGATTTCTAYTTAGTTTATATAGGAATAAATCTTYCCAGTTTGGAAAAACTAAAATATTCCCCTTATTTAATATTGTGTCTGTTACATCCCTCCTGATGTAATATAACTGTCAAATGTCCCAGCTCTCTCCTGTGACCAGTAATGAGTGRTTTAAAGACATCATATTTACTTGTTTGAGCTTGCTCAATATTAGAAATTGCTCTCTTAATTAGAAGCTGTCAGAAGAGAAAAATTATCTTAAACTGCATCCAAAGTTGAACAGTTTTCCCCAGGAGAGAGCTAAATTCCTTGAAATAGTCAAAATTATATTATCCTATACATAAATTATCCAATATCCAGGTTTATCAGATACTTAAATATTTTCTAGAGCAGATTAGTCACTCCAGCCCATCTCCCTGCAGTAGTTCTCAACATCTTAAAGAAATACAATCAGATTAGAGACTGAACAAAGCCTAAGTTCTCCATACATGAATTTTTAATATCCCTGTCTTCAAACCATTCCAGCCTACAGAGCTGCAAGCTGGATCTGTAACACACTTTGTCCATCACAATCTGCCCCTTCCAGCTTTTTCAGCCAGTGGAATGCAGGTCCAGCTTCCATCCCTGAGCAGCCTTTGCTKCTGGTTTGGTCGTGGAGCCAACCTGAGAATCACATCCCAAGTTCACTGGGGTGCTTTGTGATTATTCCTTGCTGCTTCTCCCATGTATTTAATTGGAATTTATCGTTTAACCCTTCTCTACACACAGGTGCAATCAAAATGGAGCCTCCTTCCCCRCCCTATTTTGCAGAAAAGGTTCAGTTGTACAACAAACCTCACGAAGAGTCTTCCAACTCTCTGATGGCCATCGAGTGCCGCGTGTGCGGGGACAAGGCCTCTGGCTTCCACTACGGGGTGCACGCCTGTGAGGGCTGCAAGGTAAGGGCCACAAAGGCGTTTTCATGAAGATCTAACATTATTTTCACCTGAATAATCACTTGGTAAAATCAACACATCTGTGCTTTATTTTTAAAAAAAGTTTTAGGTCTTTACGTAAATTGTCCCACCTAAACTTTATGACTTAATAAGCAGGAGTTTTTTTAAAACGTAGTTTCTTTTTTCTTCTTGATGTTATTGATCTATTCCATTTTTTKTRATTTTTTTWWAATTTTTTTTGTCAATCATGCAAGCATATTTCATTCCTCCTGACCTGGAGGTCAAATGCAGAATCTGAATTCTTAGGGCGCAGCAAAAACAAATTCACGACCAACTGCAAAGCTCTGAGCAATTTTAAATTCAGGTTCTGTTATTGTGATTGATTCAAGTTTCTTGACCCAATTGACACATTTTAGGTGACTACAAAGAAGTCTAACTGTATTAAGAATGTGGCTTTGTGCTTCAAAACTCCACTGGCTTTTTTCTGTCAGCAATATTTAATGTTTATAACACATAAAGGACAAATGAACGGTGTCAAAATTGCAGTCCTCAAGAATGAGAGAAATGTCAGAGAAATAAATTATTAATTCATTGAGTTCAAAGAAAAACATCAGAGTTTAATGTGAAATTCCCATCTTCTCCATTTTTAGTATCTTGATGAAAGTAACCAAAAAAAACCAAAACAATCCAGAGCTTAAATAAAAATCTCAGCTGTGAATTAGGAGCACACATAAAGCAATGAACATAAAGTTGATTACTTAAATTACAGTTAATTATAGAAGTAAAAGTTGGCGTTATGCTTTTACTCTTTTCATTCCCTGTGAGGAAAAAATAATTTTTACAAGGAAAAAAGGGTAATAACTTCTAATAAACTTTATTAATTAATTGTGAGTCATCTGAAAAGGCATCTTTAAACTGCAAAAAGATAAATAAGCTACAATTTTTTATTTATTACATATGGAACTGCTTTTGGCAGAATTTTTGGTTTGTTACAAATAAATCTACGTTGGTAATAAATTTTATATTTTGAAAGGGTCATGTTTGCTTTGTAATAAATGGTCTCATGAGCAGTGAAACAAAAGGAGCTTTGCTTCCTCTGGAATTGTGCTTTTCATGTCAGCACTGCTGTAGAGCTTGATATCCTTAATGCCCTTTAAACCCTATTGATTCCCTAAAGCTCTGCCAGCTTTTTGAGCATTTTACCCCTCTATCAAACTGATAAAACAGGAGCAAWCAGGATGGTCCCAGGAGCTTTGCTTCTTTTGGAAATCCATCTGATCTGGATCAGATGAGGTGCTCTGGATGTGTGGAGAAGGGAGAGATGGCACCTTCAGCTTCTTGCATCCTTTTCCATGTTTCTGTGTTTCCTGCAGGGTTTTTTTCGAAGAACAATCAGGTTAAAGCTCATTTACGACAGGTGTGATCTAAACTGCCGAATCCATAAGAAAAGCAGGAATAAATGTCAGTACTGCCGCTTTCAGAAATGCCTCGCCGTTGGAATGTCACACAATGGTGAGTGCACACAGATTTTAAATCACTGATGGGTCATCTGAAAAATAACATGAAAYGTTAACACAATTACTGAATGTGCTGCTTGGATGCCAGAATCTTCACAGCAGGTGGTTTAGAAATGCATGGCAGAGAGGCTGCCCTGAGTTCAGGAGCCTCTGTATGGCTGGAGATTGCTTTCAACATCACAAGCAGATAGGTGGAGATTTGCTGTAATACATAATGTAACATATGAACTGGTTGGGTTTTTTTTGGCAGCTCCTCCTGAATGTATTCCTTGTGTAATTGCTATTTTTCAGTTTATTATCTTATTTTCTGATCAGACCCTCTTGCCTGCTGGAGCTCAAGTGCCTTTCCTAGAAATCAAAAACTTAATTTTGAACACTGGTTTAAAGAATCTGAAGCTTTGTGAATAACAACAACTTGAATTTACTGCATAGGCCACTTACCAAAGGCAAGCATCCCTGAGTTAGCACTAAAACACAACATATTTGAAATTATCGGGCCAAAAGTTGTAGAGTTTTAAAAATCTCAGTCCTCCTCCCTCCCAGGACACCCACAGCTGTGGTTGCCTGCTTTACCATAAGTCATGGCAGGAAGAATATCACAATTACTSCTCTCTTGCATGGAATTTAGAAGAATGTCCCTGTGAACTTAAAAAATTAACAGAGCAATTCATGTGGAAATACTTATGAATGTTTGGACAGCAAGACATAATGAAGATTCTTTGTTGCCTTGCTTTGGCAAAGCTGAGTAAAAACAGGAATTAAATGTCATAACATAGAGACTTATGTAATTCTAAGGGTAAAGAATTGCAAACATGACTGGGAAAATAATTTCTCTGTGGTTTTTTTAGAACTTTCATTATTTTCAATATGAAAAATGAGTGTACTGTCCCCAAGAGGAAAGCTGTGCTGTGGTTTGCAAAGTTAATCCATGCACTGAATGTAAATTGGTATGGGAAATGTTTTGCTAATAGAAAATATGGTTTTCAAATTCCTGGGATGCAACAGCAACACTTAAAAATAAATCTAATTTTGAAATGCTACTGTGGGTATTTTTCTAGTAATTCAGAAGGGGTTTTTATTATTATTTTTATTATTATTTTTATTATTATTTTTATTATTATTACTATTTTCATGGTGCATGCCAAATTCTCCCCTAGCCTGGCAACCCAGCTCCCAGTTGGGTTGATGGGATCCGTGTGCAGTTCCATCAGGAGGGGGATGGCCCAGACCATTCTCTCTGCCTTGTAACATATAGAATAACTTTAAAATTATATTTCACTGGCCAATTTTTGCTGTTCAGGCAGGAGCTGTGTCACCAACAGGGTTATAGGAGTCAGGGAGAGGCAGGAAAAGGGCAAAGGCATTTGTCCCAGGGCTCCAGGGAACATTTTCCTTTGCTCCAACTAGGACTTCTCCAACAAGGAGTCAGTGTTTCTATTCAYAGGTTGTCTTCTACATCTGCCTTTTTCTTTTTGCCCACTCTGGTTTCATTGCATTGCACAKAACACCCTCATTCCTTGATAATTTATAAAAAATATCTCAATTTCACCTTTGAGGACCCCAGAAACATAAAGAAAAGCAACACTGGATATGGTCAATGACACCGAGACTCATTTTTATGTTACATCTACAGATTACAGTTCAGCCACTTGGGTAGGGAAATTCTGTGAATTTTACATGCTTTAAAGCAGAATGTGGGTTATTTGTGCCTCGGGGTTCCCATCTATRTCTGTCTTTGTGTGGATGTATTATTGCAAAACGATCAGGACAAAAAGGGGGACTGCAAGGAGACACTCAGCAGCTACAGCCACATTTTTTCACGTCTAAATGCTACATACCACTTGGCTAAAGGTTAAAAAAGACACCAGTGTTCTCAGGCTTGGAATATTGTTTTCCTTTCCTTCCCTAGCCACAGTGTTGCTCTGGGTTTAACCCTGAGTGGTGCAGATTGCACTCTGAAGTKCCCCTGAGCAGCAGCTTGGTTCCTTCAGTTTAGAAATGTCGTTTATTTTGTTCCCTTCTGCTGAAAGTACTGCTTATATTAACCCAACTACTGCAGTGGGAATAAAGAGAACACGTGGCAATGTGTCTGTATCAGTTCTGGGAGCAGGAATTGCTCAATCTGGGCACATACCTACAGTAAATTCAGACAGGTATCCCCCCTGGCTGCATCTTGTGTTTTCTCATGGAAGAAGCCAGATTTATGGTCTGTTTGGGGTCTCCTTTATGCTCAGAAACAATCCAGACAATCAGAAGARCCATGTCCTACAGAAAAGCCTATAAACAATCTTTTTTTTTTTTTACATTTAACTTCTCCAAGCAGTAAAATCTGGCAAAAAGATAAATATTGTAGTTCTCGCACAGAAAGCCAAAGGATAGAAGGCAGCATGAGTGACTTACTGCACTCACTGTTGGCTTTCTGTTGCTGACATTTGGAACATCCTGCAAACCCAAGTGAGAGGAAGGAGTGCCAGAGGAAAGGGAGAGATCTCACGTTCCAGCTGCAGGCTGCTGCCCAGACTTGCAGAGGCTGGGATTACTGGGGAAKAAGCTGCCACCTGAACCCCTTCCACCCTCCCAGCATATCAACCATTTGGGTTTCCAGAGCTCTTCCACAACCTCCCAGGCTTTTCCCTGCCCTTCCCACCCCTCCTGGGCTTTGCCTGCCCTATCCGCTTCCCAGGCTCTCCTGCTCCCAGCCTAAGTGTCATCATCAGCCYCTCCTTCTTCCCCTCTCATCCCAAATCCCACTTTCCCAATTCCTCCCATAAACCTCCCACTGCCTGACCTCTCCCTGATTTTCTCTCAATCCCCTGAAGATGACAGTGATGCTGGTTTTTCCCAAAGGARAACTGCTTGGCCAGTCCCACAAAATTGATTTTGCCCCAAATTATGCCTCCACTACTAACAGACCTCGGACAGAATCTGCTGAAACTAATGTCCCATTTATAAAATATATTCTGTGTTTGTGATATTGTAAKATAGGAATGCTTATTTCAYAATTCTCCTTGTTRTWAATGAATTGTTATATTTAAAATATACTTTATAATGARTTGTTATRTTTAAAATATACCTTTGAGTTGTGATCACCTTTTCTTTAGGAAAATTCATTCTCAACATTCATGAATTATATCAGAAATCTTCCAAACACATGTTCTTGAAAGAGGTACAGGGTTTAAAAGTGGGGCATGAAAGATCCACTGCTATTGACCCATCCTGAAAACACCCATTTAGAAGGAAACAATCCCATGTGGGAATGATGGATTGTCAGTAAACCCAAAATCCATGCAAAATTAAAGATGCATAACAAACTTTAGCCCAAGTTTGGGCCAGTGGGAGATAACCCCTGCTCAGCACCCTGTGATACCAGCGGGGGTTTGGGCTGCTCTGAGGTTTCTGTGCTGCCGTTGGGAGCAATTCTCATTCCTTCTTTTGTTTGTGGGTGCATTTTCTCCATCTTCATTCACACAGAAGGGRTTTAAAATAATCTTTCTTTGTGGAAAAATGAGCATCACGAGGCCCCATGGCAGTTATTCCTCAGAAATACATACCAAATTTCTCTGCAGCTTTTATCRTGTCTCATTTTATAGTCTTCCTCTGTGTCTATGGGCTTTACCTTCAAAACAGATTATATTTAAAGGGGTTTGACTTCATAAAATTGAGCACACTGAAGACAAAGCTCTAATTTAACATTAATGTTCATGGGGATTTTTTATAACTTTATATGTAAAAGTTATGCAATTTCTCAAAAACACTGAGAAAAAAATCAGGTATGATTCCTGCTAGGAAGTGTACTGAAACCAATAGGAAAGTAATAAATAATATTTGAGTTTGATAACACTTTTCATGCAAATATCTCAAAACACGTCTCAGGAAAGTATCACCTAATAAAATAAATAAATAAAAATAAAAACCAGTGCTAAGTGAAAGAAGGCATCTAGTCTACTACAACTAAARTTTTTATTTTTACCAGTAAAAGAAATACTTGTAGAATTAATTSCAATGCAATCTGTAAATTAATGGAAATAATTTTTTTATTAGAAGCCCTGGGGTTTATAACAGCTGCCTACCTTGCACAGGTAACTTGGTACCCTTTGTTTGGGATAAGTAAATGGGATTCTGGARCACCCCCAGCACACTGTAAGTTGTCATTTATTGTCAATTCTACACCAGTGCTATCGGAAACTTTCCACAGAGAACCATCAAAAWTGGGTTATTTGGCAGCACCAAATTGCACAGATCCTGGAAGCTGCTGWCCAAGGAGAGCAGAGACTGCTCTGGGATGCAGGTGTAGGAAAAGGGGGTATTTGGAAACCATGGCATACAAACTGTGCTGTCCCTTAATATTCACAGCTCAAACTAGACTGGTTTACAATGCCTTACAGCAGCACAGCCTACAGCAGCCTACAGCATAGGTACATGCAGGTGGGAAACTGCCACAAGTTTAAAAAAAAAAATTATCCCACTCAATCCTGGCAAACTTCTGTGAAAATCCARGCACTGGATTCACCCATGTATGAATTTTTAACCAGTTACCAGTCTGGTTTCTGCTCTTTAAAAGAATAAAATCATGAAGCTTAGTCATTCATTCTCTARTGGCAAAGCAACCTCTGCTTGCTTTGGAATCCCTGATCTTTTCAGTCAAATCTCTACAGGAAACAATTCCATGTCAGTCATCAGTGGCATAGCTGGGGTAGACACTGTGCTGTATCCTTGGGAATGTTCCAGCAGATACCTGAGCAAAATGGGGGAGAGGGAGAAGAAAAGAAGATGGAAAAAAGAAAATAAGTTTCAATTGTTTGTGATGCTTTGAGGGAGTAGATCAGCTGTTTTAGAGCTAGGTTTATATTCAAACAGACAAAGGGGAAGCAATAGACTCTCCCTTTATTTTTATCCCTTYTTTGTAAAGRTAACTTTGATAAATGAGTCCTCTGYCAATGGGATTCCAGACTCTAAACCTGCTTCTGCAAACCTCAGCTCTCAGGAGCAGGCTCACAACAGAACCATTTCCTGCTGGTGTTCAGTATAATTTAATACAAAGAACACCCACCCAAGYAAATCCGAAATATCCAGCACATGTCACTCAGAGACTGGGTTCACTGAAAGAGAGATGGAGTTCAGTCATAAAAATAAAYTATTTTGTTTCTACAGCTRTTGAATAAGACAACTGATCAATAARTGTAATATATGAAAAATGGAGAGGGGGAGATGTCTTCTGGCATAATTGTTTATTCTTAGAAAAATGTGTTCTGTTTGCCCATCAACGCACTGCAGCAAACTCATACAAGAAGAGTTGCTCATTGYTTCCAAAATAAACATCCCCAGTAGAATCATCTCTATATATGATCTTAGCAGCACTTTTTCTTTATCCAAGGAATACACTAATCACTGAAAAAATATTCATAATATTTCTATTTCCCCCTAGGGCCAAAATGCAAACCTTGATTTCTTCCTTCCGCTTTTTGTTTTGATGCTCTTTTGTTCTGTTTTGTTTTCATAAAACAAAATAAACTCTGTTTACTGAGCTATCATGTGATAAATCATTCTTGATTTTGATGGCTCATTTGAAATACTATCCAACTCAGTCTCCATATGAATAAATAACGTATTGGATAGCAAGTACATGGACAGAAAAGTAGGAGGTTTAGAAGAGATCTGCCCTGRTATTGAGTAATTTTGAGCTCATATGATGAGGTAGGACCATTTTTTTGTTCTTCCAATAGTCCACATACAGGTATCACTAAGAACCCAGCCTTTTCCGGCTGTTTTATTCCCTGTACAACCTTCTTTAACATTCCTTAATACTTATAGTAACATTTTTATAGCACTTGCTACACTAAATTCTGCTGAGCTGTTTAGGAATTTATTCCTGCAAGGCACATAAGGGTTTTGTTTCTAAACAAATGAAGAATCCGAGATCCATATGGTGATTTGCCCAAAACAGTACAAGGATGAATGGTGGTTCCTACCCTAAGCCAACAGGACTTTAATATCTTAAATATTCTTTATATTTTRTGCAGATTGGAGGTGGAGTCAGGGKTTTCACATGATTCAGGTGAGCTGAGAGCAATTTGAATTTCTGAGCAAGGCATTGTAATGGCACTGTTTGGGCACAGAGGTGATTTCCTCGTTGAGATTTGTTTACATTTCTTTAAAGCATTCAACTGTTTTGCCTAAATTAGTGGAGAAAATCYTCTTTCCTTGCTTGCCTAACCCTGTTTTAATACAAGCTTCAGGATCCAAAAGGTGGCAGAAAATTCAAATGTGCTTTTTTGGGGTGCAGGCACAGGCGCAGAAAGGTGACAAAAAACCTATCAAAATGTGCTTTTTGAGGTGCAATCRCAGGTGCAGCAAGGTGACCTACTGAAATGTGCTTTTTGAGGTTGAATTGCAGCCAGAGTGACCYTTGTGATTCCCTCAGCCATCAGGTTTGGGCGGATGCCCCAGGCGGAGAAGGAGAAGCTCCTGGCAGAGATCTCCAGCGACATCGAGCAGCTGAACCCCGAATCGGCCGATCTGCGAGCGCTGGCCAAGCACTTGTACGACTCCTACATCAAGTCCTTCCCTCTGACCAAAGCCAAGGCGAGGGCCATCCTGACAGGAAAGACGACAGACAAATCAGTCAGTTCCCTCTTMTTTTTGTTTCTTCCTTTTTTCTGAGTAAATGATTTACCAAGTTGACAACACAGCTCTTAAAAAAAAATAACACAAAACACCAAACCTAAAAAAAAGCCCCTACTTTGCTGCTGGCAGTTACATATTTCAAGCTGTGTCTGAAACACAGGAAATGTTTTTAGATAGAATAAGTAAACATTATTTGAAAAAACTCCAAGTTCACCTAATAAAATACTTGAAACCAGTACAAGAATTTGAAGGTCATCTTAACCTTTTTGTATTCCCTGCTCCTCTCTTCCCGTTTTCCTTCTCCTTGCCCAGAGGTTATCTCCCACACTATCTGTTTAAGGTGGCTATCCAGCTGTCAGGAATTTCTTGCTGTCCTGTTCCAGCAGCCCTATCAAAGTGTGTTATCAGCACTGGCTGTTCCTTGAGGAATATTCCTTTTCCCAAGTGTCAAATTATTCCAGCCCCTGATCTGCCAGGAAGCTGAATTATGATGTTCATTCTTATAATTTGCTGCTTTTAACTGGGTTATCTCATGTCAGATCAGTGCCCTGTGTTGATGCAATTTGAATTTTAGGAGACTGGACAGGAAAAACTTGGAAAAGTAAGGAATAGGAATATCTGTGTTTGTGTGTTCCCTTGGAAGCTTCACTGGCAATGCATAATCCTCTTCTGTACCAGTAAGAAGGATAAATAATATCTGATCRTATTTGTAAGTTTTGAATTTGGGCMGTATTTTAATACCTAAAGGACAAAATCGTTTTCCCAGACTTATTACTCTGAGTTTGATGCATTTTCTAGAATCATTGGCASAAATTTTATTGTCAGGATTACAACAGAGACTATAATTTATTTTCCTTCATAATTTCAAAGACAGCAAAGAACTTGGAAATATTTCAGGCTCAAAAAAAAGCATTCCTTCCTTTCCTTAAAGGCAATTAAAATAATAATTTTAGTGTTGTCCAAAAATTGGTTCTACCCCTCACATAAAAACTTTAGATGTGGTGGACACTTGCCATTTGAGGAACTTTTCAGCCTGGAGTATATAAAATTTGAAGTTTTGAGTATATAAAATTTGAAGTATTAATTCTGCAGAAACTGATGTGCAACCTGGTCATGTCTGAAAGTTCCACTGTTGCAATTCTCAACCAGTAAATGTATAATTACATCAATTGCATTCTCCTTTTTTCTTTGAAGTTTTACATTTTGCCAGATGAGAAACAGCAATGAACCAGGAGACAGAATCCTGCTTTTCAGTACTGCCAATTTTCAAGTCTTTTTGAAAAATACCACTGAAAGAGTGACACTCAGTCACACTCAATTTAATGGTTACAACTTTTATGTTTTTATCAATTGTTTTGGTGCTCTGGAGCATCAAACTGTTTACTATGGGTGTAGTTTAAATTCATTTTAGTTGCTGTACAATCTGAATTCATTTAAAATGATTGGATATGCCAATGAGTGTGTCAAAACTAAAATTAGTAACTCATCATCTCCTGGGTTATATGGAGCTTGTTTGACGTAAGATTCTACTCCCAAGTTCATCTGATCTTCATGTTAAAACTTCCTCAGCTATTTTGAACTCTTTCTTGATTTTCATCCATCATCAGTAGGCATTATACAGGCTTCCTAAAGCACTTTGCCATAATAATGACTTTTTGTTGTATTGGTGCTCCCACTAGAAGGAGCAGAATGAAATCACCTACTAGAACCAAAATATGCATTTTAAAAGCATCTTCTGCAGTCTTGTTATCCCTCTATTGCACATGTGTGCATATCCACATGCAGATACAGATTTAATGTTGATGCCGCTGCCAAAATGTCTTGGAAATGCCTTCTCTGCCAAAATTACCTCTTGGAAAATGCCTTCTCCTCCTGGYTTTTCTCAGTGCAGCATTTGTTGTTGTAGTTTCACATTGAAATCCTCAGTCCAAGTGGGAGAATCGTGCCCTACCTGCCCCTGTCCTTCCTGGAACATCACGGTCCAGAGCTCTGAGTGCCCCCAGTGTTGGGGATGATGGCAGCACTGGTTTCACTGGTGGTGTGAGTGGCAATTTTGGGGGGCTGAAATCCTCGTGTGTGGACAATTCTTWGAGTTCAGAGCCAGCCCTCTGTTTTCCCAGCAGCTGTTTCAGCCAAAGCCAAAGCTGCTGTTCCCTGCCCTCTTCCCAGTGGGAGCTGGGCTCAGCCTGTACCAGTGACCCAACCCTTCCCAGTGTCCAKCTCAGAACTCTGGGATGGCAGGAGGGAAGGGATGAGCAGCTGTGGGCACCATCCCCTCCAGGAGGCACTTCCAGCCACTAAGGAAATTTGCTATTTCCAGTTTTATAATTCCATAATTTAGCACTGATCAGATTTCAAAACTACTTTAATCAAACAGGAATGGGAATTTGAGGAGTTTCCAGAAGCAAATTCTGTGGGAAAGAAGCAATAACGATGTATAGGAAGCTTGGGTTGTTTTTGAACCTGTTCTGCAACATGAATATCAATAATGGATATAAAACCATGAGATTGAACACCCCTATGAGGCATTCAAATCTGCAATCATAAATCAASTTGTATTTTAAAAGGCATTTCTCTAGTCCAATTGATTGGAGTATAATCCTTTGTATTTTAATTAATTAATCATCAAATTAACAAACTTACTCATCTCAGCGGGTATTTGTTCAGTGCAGCAAAGAACTACTCAGTCATTAATTTTCTGAGGACAAGAYTCTTCAAATAAATTTGAGAAACCATCACATAACCACTTCTTTAAACCCAGGAGCTTCTTTTGCCTGTTCTGGAACAGATTGTTTCCAGATCCTAATGAAAGTATTCTGGCACTACTTTTTCTAAGCTGCTTGCAAAATTGATTTATTCCAGTTGAGTTTATTTCACAGTCAGACTCATTCTTGCGTTCTGAATTGTGGTTTGCACCATGGTATTTGTTTTTTCTTTCCCAAAGACAAGTTGAGTGAGTTTTAAAYATATCCCAACTTTGTTATTTTGAAAGGAGTTAACAGCAAAAGGCTACATTTATCAGATAATCAACAGCAGAAAGTTGATATTACTTGCAGTGTTTCCTGGAAGGGAACATGAAAGTAAATAAAGGAATCAAAATGTCAATATACTCTGTCTTTCTAAAAAAAAAAAGGTTCCTGTACACTCAGTAATTTCTTTTTTATAGGAGCCATTATAATTCAGGTAAAAGAAGTATAATTTTAACCTTTTGTTAAGCATTCCAAACTTTGAATTCTGGAATTACAGAATGTTTGTATAACAAATAGCARAGAAACAAAGGAAAAGGCAAAACTCCTGGGTATTAAAAACTCCTGGGTTTTAAAATTTTTCTTTTCCCTCTTMCTTGGCCTTTCTGTCAATCATTTTAACATTGTGAGGGTATCTGTTGTATAGAATTAGGACAATTTAACYATTCTGAGAMCCTTTGATAGGTTCCTCATAGRTCTCTGAGTGGTTCCYGGTGAGTTCCACCCCRGTTTGSGTTTCTCAGGAGTCAAACACCCTCRGAAAGGACATTTGGGAGTAAATGGACTTTTCCTTTTGTTTTTAGCCYTTTGTTATTTATGACATGAACTCTTTAATGATGGGAGAAGACCAGATCAAGTGCAAGCACGTGTCCCCCCTGCAGGAGGAGAACAAGGAGGTGGCCATCCGCATCTTCCAGCGCTGCCAGTTCCGCTCCGTGGAGGCCGTGCAGGAGATCACCGAGTTCGCKAAGAACATTCCGGGCTTTGTCAACCTTGACCTCAACGACCAAGTAACTCTCCTGAAATATGGGGTCCATGAGATCATATACACTCTGCTGGCTTCGCTGATGAATAAAGATGGGGTTCTTATATCTGATGGACAAGGGTTCATGACACGGGAGTTCCTGAAGAGCCTGAGGAAACCTTTTTGTGACTTTATGGAGCCCAAGTTTGAGTTTGCTGTGAAGTTCAATGCACTGGAATTAGATGACAGTGACCTGGCAATATTTATAGCTGTCATTATCCTAAGTGGAGGTAAGTACTGTCTTATTTATATGAAATTATATAGGATAAAATTGACATTTTTAATTCCTGTCCAAACAGCAAAGTGTTCAGCACTATGGGGTAGGAGTGAGTACATTTTCACTGAGGTTTTTTAGTCATTTCAACTTTCTTGGTGTTGTTTTCCTTTAATTCAGTTTCAGACAGAAACTGAAAATGGAAATGAGCTGATATTAGTGATGGAGCTGGAAATGCCTGCTGAGTCATCGGTTCATTTCRGTACAAAACAAAATCAGGGCTATCATTTGGAAAACAGGAAGGGTGGAATTTCACTGGCAAGAGCTAAAATTCTGCCTGAGATTTTTTTAAACCTGCAGTTAGCTTGTGTGGCTTGCTAATTGTGCACAAATAGCTTTGACTCCMGAATGATTCCAAAGGATAGGTGGTATTGGGTTTACAGCGTCGTAATGATGCTTTTCATTGTTTTTTCATTCATGCAAGRTTTGGTTTGCCCTTGAAAGGAGGGGGAAATTAATTTCTGAGGAAAATTATGGTTTCCTAATGCCTGGGAARGCAGGCACTGTGTGTCTGCTCAGATTTCCTCAGCTTCTCTGATTTCGTATCATCTTTACCCATCACACTTTGAGCAGAGCATGACTCTGAAAGCCCAGCTATCAGACTGCACACAYCCCAACACTTCACTGAAAAACCCTGAGTTTCAGCTTTCCTGCAGACTGCCAGTGTGTCCTCTCTGCTCCTGAGCTGATGTCACTGTTCTGCTTTGTGAGTTAGGGATGGCTAATCTGAGATTTCATTCCCTTAGACACCTTCCACTGATGTATCACACAAACATTCCAGGCACATTATGGGCTGTTCCTTTGGCCAACACTCTCAAGTCAGTGATGTTGCACAAACAAAATCTTACCCTCTTGATTTGTGTGTATTTTGGCCCAAAATGGAGCTGCACATATCCATGGCAGGAATGTGCTGAATGCTCTGGATTCGGCTCCTCCACCGAGCATTTTGTGATTAAATTACATTTCAGCAATCACACACAACCACATGCTATTGTTGTAAAAGCAGCCCYGCTGCTGGGAGGGCATTGTCAGGTGATTATTTTTCATTTCAARTCACCTCCAGCTCCTCCTGGCACCGTGTTTCTGACAGGAAAAATGGGGATCACCATATGGTGTATCCCACAAATTCCACTTCCAACAAGAACTGCTCCCAGGACACATTGCCTTGTGCAAACCTTGGCCACCACGACCCCTGAGGATTCTTCATTCATTCAGGAAGGAAAACACCTTGCTGCTCTATCTTTGGTTGGTTTTGATCGGGGAGGAGAAATTGTCCAAGCCTATCAAGGCACTACACAGAACATGCCAATATTTTGCATTTTTTAGCATAATGAAATGGGACAGATAAGAAAATGGCCTCTCAACATTCARTCCTGACTGCAAAAAGTTGCATTTTGCAAAGCCATGTTTTCAGCAGTGTTTGGTTTACACTGGAGGAAATAGGAATGATGTAACCAATCTCACATCTTAGATTGCAGGATGGGGATTCACAGACAAGAATTAACTGTGTTGAACCGGATTTATCAGCGTGTCTCTTTTCTCCCAGAATAATTTGTAAACAGAGATCTGTAAAGAASTAATGAATTTGAATCAAGTAGCAAAACTCTGAAGCAAATCTGTAGAGATAAACAAACCCATATAAATATAAATATAAATCAGTCCTTTCTAGGAATATCATTTATTTTCTTGACAACAAACATCTCCTTATCTTTATTCAGAATTGTGGSGTTTTTTTCCAAAAAGCATGATAACTACTTGTGAAAAAATTAGTTTATGTTTTGCAAACAATTAARCTTTGTTGTCAATCAGAGAAAGCTTTTATCATTTAAAGCCAGATATGATATCTGTTGAACTGGATGCATTCTGTGGGACTAAAATAYCTTGTGTGATATAAAATTGAGTCCTATTTCTCAGCTGTCTCAGCTGGTTCTGTAAGAGCTCTGTCCTTGCAAAATGGTATTTCTGTAAGAATTATTTGAATTTTGCAGGATGATTTCATTGCAAACAGGATTTCAAAACCACAGCACCTCGAGGACTTGCTGCAGGAATCCTGCAACACTTAAGTCCCTGCACGAAATCCTGGGTACAAATGTCTTTAACAGAAAACCAGYTTGTGAAACCCAAAAAGATCCCAGCCAGGGGCTCTAATTGTCAGTGAATCTGTCATTACYTGGTGAAATTATGTTAATTCTGCTGGCTCCATGGGGCTGGCTCTGTGCAGCTCTGCAAAGAGCAGGAGAAGGGAAAGAAACAGAATTCCAGCTGGAACATTRCACACAGAAAGCTTTTCACTGGGAAGTGTTTGGAATTTGCCACAAATGCTATTAAACTGTTTGGCCTTTTGATAACCAAACAGCTGCTTTTGCATGTTATCTCAAAAGGCAGAAAGCCCAAATGACAGCAATGAGAAGCTGACAAATTAACTGTAATAGCAACAGATGGAAAGGGCTCCCACTCCCASAGCTGGGGATTTCACTGTTCCTCACTGCTCAGTGCAGCCTCTCTCTGTCTCAGTGAGTCCAAATGTTGCTCTGGACCCATTTCTGAAGAGTTGCTCTTACTGTTGGTGCTGTAAAACCATGTAAATGGCAAACAAATTCTGGTATTCTGAATTTAATACCTGTGTCCTGGATTGTGTTCTCTGATGAGGCAGACACTGTGTGTGAGCATAGGAAATCACCTTGTTGGTACAACAGAAATGCTTTTGCCAWCAACAGCAACACCAAACTCTCATTCCAACATTCTTTTACAACATCCTTCTAGTTGTGGTAACTTTAAAAAACACACTTTGGTTAAATGAGATTTGGAAAGCTTTTTTAAGGAGCTATTCTTCCTCCCTGTTGGATTCCTCTAAGACACACCCTCAGCCAGCAGTGAGTGCTGTGCTGTCCAGGTGAAAGTATTGAGGCAGCTTTAAAAATATCACATAAAAATTTCAGCTGAGCTCAAAATGAACTCTCTCACAGGAAGGTTTAAGGARAGCAAGTGGGATGGCTCTGTTAGGGCAGGGAAAATAAAATTCCAAATGTTATTGGGACAGTTCACATTTATGAACTGAGCAAATTCACTCAAGCAGAAACTTTGCTGTCAAATGAAGAAGAAGCTCATAAGGGAATTTTGTAGCATGTTTGCATGGACTCAAAGTTTTGTGTGTTATCTCCTGCAGTAGTGGGATACAGGAATGTTTGGATACAGGAATGATTGGATACAGGAATGATTGGATAGAGGAATGATTGGATACAGGAAGGTTTAGGTAGAGGAATGATTGGATACAGGAATGATTGGATACAGGAAGGTTTGGGTACAGGAATGATTGGATAGAGGAATGACTGGATACAGGAGTGGTTGGATACAGGAAGGTTTGGGTAGAGGAATGATTGGATACAAGAATTATTGGATACAGGAAGGTTTGGATAGAGGAAGGTTTGGGTAGAGGAACGCTGGGTACAGAATGATTGGATACAGAAAGGTTTGGGTACAGAAAGGTTTGGGTACAGGAAGGTTTGGGTACAGGAGTGATTGGATAGAGGAATGACTGGATACAGGAATCATTGGATACAGGAAGGTTTGGGTAGAGGAATGATTGGATACAGGAAGGTTTGGATACAGGAATGATTGGATAGAGGAATGACTGGATACAGGAAGGTTTGGGTAGAGGAATGATTGGGTTCAGGAGTGATTGGATAGAGGAATGACTGGATACAGGAATGTTTGGGTACAGGAAGGTTTGGGTACAGGAATGATTGAATACAGGAAGGTTTGGGTACAGGAAGGTTTGGGTACAGGAGTGATTGGATACAGGAATGTTTGATACTGCAGTGTTTGTGGCAGGGTACACCTGTACAGCCCCACACTCTGACAGTCTGTGTGAGCCAACCTGGTATTCAAACCCCGAGATGTTTCTAAAGTCAATTCTTCTCTTTTCAGTGTGGGTTTTTTTACTYTAAATTTTAAGCCACAAATCGCTGCTCCTGGTTTAAACACTGTATTCAGTAATTTTGCTGCATTCTGACATCAGCAAAATTTGAAGATATGGCTATGACCAAGAAGTAGTTCCTCTTTCACTACCACACAAATCCTGCGCTTCGTTAGAACAGAAATGCTTCATAATCAGAGCAAGAACTGCAGATCATCTCTGTAGGCGTTGAACCAAAAGCCTGGTGACTCCAGTGCATGTGACAGTCTCAGAAGACAAACCTCRAACTGCTGAGTCACRGCTGCCTCAGCAAAAGAAAAAAGGAGCACATTTATTCACTCAGACAGATCTTTGCCCTTTTTTTCATGCTGAGACTTTAAAATGTGCATTTAAACGCAAAAGGCACTTACTCAAATTTATTAAAATATAAAAACATGCAGGTGTCTGTTTCATATGTGAGAAACAGGTAAAAAGGATTGTAATTATAGTTAGGAACATGAAAGAGGCATCCAAATATGTGAGTAAATAAACAAATAAATGCTTTTCAGTATAGAATATCAACTTCCACAAAGTCATACTGGTGGCACTCAGGACTTTGGCTTTACTGGCTTTTCCCAGTCACTGAACATTTTTCTACTCAGAACAGTTTCCTGCACCGCTTTCAAACGAAATGCAGCAGGTGTAGGACAATGAGTGAAAACATGAAGAAAATATGAATGAAGACACATGATAATAAAAAGGGAACCATGGTGCTMTCCTGGCATAGCCTTCATGGTCCAAAGGCAGTTGGAAATAACAAAGGAAAAAACTAAAATTCAAACAACAATCTGGTGATCCAAGAGGATTCAAAGCAGTGTCCAAATCACTTTGCGTTCTCTCTCACCTTAATCATGTCACCTCTTTGGCCCTCTGTCACCCATTTTTATTTATCACAAGACAGTCCTGCTATAGCTCTTGGGTTTTTTTTTTTTTCACTTCCCTCCCTGGCTCCCTGCCAGTTTGCTCTGGCAGCTTTCAAGCAGCACTTTGGTCTGCCAGCCCTGYAAAGGCTTCCCCCACAGTGTCACATCCAATTCCACACTCCCATTCCTGTGTTTTCCCACTCCCTATTGGAACAGTTCTCCCTGACAGTTACAAACATTCCTCTTGTCCTTTTTTCTACAAGACACATACCCCTGCAGCTCCTGACTGTACTAAACACACCTTTTGGGACCAAACCAAATTGGTCTGGAGCATATATATATATATATATATATATATATATATTTAAGAGCATTCTAACAGCTTGAAATACACCATAATAGCTGCATGTTGGAGCTTTTGCCTCTTATTTCCTTTTTTCCTGATTTAGATAAGTTTCTTGGAACAGAAACAGCATTTTCCTCTGTATGAGTTTTTTACTGAGAAAGTATAGCAAACTGTCAACAACCAAAAAAACACTGCCCATATCCTGAGGTTCTCATTCATGAAAAATCTCTCTTGTCTTCAATGGGAATTTTCCTTCCTCTTGAATTGGCTAATTTAAAAATAACATCTGATGCTCTCCTAAGCTTTTGTCAGAGTCATCTTTTCTGCCTCTGGTTCTGCTGGGTCATTAGAAAACCATCAGAGCGGGGTTTCCAAAGGGGTCCCAGGATTTTACCACTGCAGTCCCACTGAACCTCAGSTGACCTCGGGCACCCCAATCCAGGGGGCTTCTGAGAAGTTCCAGACCCAGCAGAGTTCCCTGCTGGACTCTAAAGCCACACTGGGGAGCGCAATATTGGAATTGGGATTGACTCTTGAAAAACTCACACCCCGACAATTCCCAGCACAAAGGAACAGGGGGCAAAGGGAGATGAATCTCAGAGGAGCTCAAGGCCATGTCTTTGTGCTTTCTGATTTATTCTGTCACTGAGTCATGCACAGCTAGCTCACAGTTCAGCTGCTGCACACGAGAAACATTTAAAGTTATCACCACCCCAAATTATTAACAGAGCTGAAACACTGCTTTGAAGCGCTGAAATTTGAGATATTTCAGACAGATGCCAAATTTAAATTCTGCAGTACAGGCAATGCCTTCAAGGTAATAAAAAAAAAAACTAACATTTATCAAAAATTAAAGTATCTTTTGAAAAAATTGCTCAGAAATATTTCCAAACAAAATTGATAAAAAGGAACTTTTTGCTTGGAGACAACTTTCTGCTTGCAGATGTTTACTGCCAGACTTTCTGAACCAAATTTCATGGGGTTCTCGGTCAAATGGGATCAATGAGTGATGTCTGCAAGACAAGCACATTGGCCAAACAATATCCAGGTTCTATAATAATGAAAATACTGGAAATATTTTCCAATAATGGAAAATTCCCWTTATTCCTATCTCTGAAAAACTCTGCCCAAACCTCACCTCTTGGAGAGCTGYGTATCCTTTCCTGATCAGTGACCTTCATTTTCATGCCTTGTGTACACTCATCTCTTTTCCTGCCAGCTTTGCCTTTTAGTTTACACTGCATTTTTTCTCCCGTGAAGTAAAACCCCGATGTATTTATAAAGAGCTTTGTTTTCCCTCTGCCTTTTTTCCAGCATGCAGCACGAGTCAAGCTGAGTTAGTAGAACTGCRTGCACAGAAAGGTTACCAAGATCACAGGAAATAACAGCTTATTTTTGAAGTTTTTCATAGAGATCAACCCCTTGTCCTCGCTGAAATGGAATTACTGCCTTTGGGAAGTAATTTAARGCTTGCAATAGGCACTGCTTTTTATTGATCAGTCTATGAAATTAATTTCGTATCTACACAGCAAATGTTATTTTAATTACTGGCTGCTTTTTCATGGTGTATTCTGATATTTGGGATGTGTTACCCAGTACTGAGTATTTTAGCAGTGATAAATTCATGGTGGTCATTGTCTCCTGTGAGGATTTAACAAAGTTAAGCAGATTTCCCTGCCTAGACATTCAAGATGTCATTAACTTTCAATGCTGGAGAACCAAATAATTTGTCACCTCAAGCTAGAAAACAAATGCTGCAAATTCCATTCATAACTGGAGCCACTTAAGGATGCATTTGGGGACAGGCAGAACTAACAGAACAGCTATTCTGATGATAATAATGGTTAAAACAGAAAGATTTTGTTTCTTGCTGGAGAATAAGCTGTGCCAAAGCTGCTGCTGGGCTCTGGCAGCTGGGGCAGTGCAGGAGCTGCYGTGGCACCAGCCCAGGAGAGGCATTTTCTGCACAAGAGTCCCCGCAGCCATCAGTGGCTGTGCCTAAGCTCAGGAGCTGATACAAAACCACCCTGAAACTTCCTRACAGCAGCTGGAACTCGGGCATGCAGAAGAGCTGAGCCTGGGGTTTTTAAATCYCCCAGGTTAGTATGAGCAAAAGTCGAATTTGTGCTTTTTAAAAAAAAAAAAAATCGATAGGTTTGCATCCACCTTAGCAGGAAACATTTTTAATGGTAGCAGCTGCAGCCAAATCCATCAGATTATTGATTTTCCAAAAGTKACAGATTGTTTTTCCCCCAACTCACTTTTTTTTTGCACACACACTCCCAGTTTACAGTGGAAAATGCTCTGTGGTAGCGTATAAACCTGTCCCTGCATCTTCACCAGTTGAACTATTTCCAAGACTAATTCTACAACTCCTTTGAGCAAATCCCATTAAAATCTTACAAATGACCTGATTGTCAAGCAGCTCTCAGGGAATGGACTCTGTAAAGGCTGAATTTGCCATGAAATTTGTGAGGAATGGATACATGAGCTGGATGTTTCTGCGTGTTCACAAACTGCCGACTCTTTTTCTCCACAGACCGCCCGGGGTTGTTAAATGTGAAGCCCATTGAAGACATTCAGGAYAACCTGCTGCAGGCTCTGGAGCTGCAGCTGAAGCTGAACCACCCCGAATCCTCGCAGCTCTTTGCCAAACTGCTGCAGAAAATGACGGACCTCAGGCAGATCGTCACGGAGCACGTGCAGCTCCTGCAGATCATCAAGAAAACCGAGACGGACATGAGCCTGCATCCCCTGCTACAAGAGATCTACAAGGACTTGTATTAACGAGCACAGCAGTCCTGATCCCCCTGACATAATGTATGTTCTTCAGATTGCACTATTTCTGTGAGGGAAAACTTTGCATACCTAAGAAATTACTGTGAAACAGCATTTAAAAAGAGAGAGCTTAGTATAGTAGATCTATTTTATGCATATTGTTTATAAAGACACATTTACAATTTACTTTTAATATTAAAAATATCTATATCATGAAATYGTTGGCAGTATTTTCAGAATTAATTTTTTAACTATGTTATTTCTTCAAATTGCTTGTCCAAGTATGATTGATGCTTCACTCCAGTTGGTTAAGCATGCAGTTCAATTTTCAACTAAATAAAAACCTTTCTCCTTGARCATTTCTAGGGAAATGTTTGAAGCATTACACTCCATTTTGTGCTCCCGAGGCAGCAGCAAAATAAAATCTGTTCACAGATTAGTGWAACTTCCCATGAGAGCTTAAAAGGCCAAAAGGAGAAGTGTCAGGTCTGACAATATTTGTGCCTTCCAAAGTAAGATTTGACACTGACAGAGCTCTTGAAAGGAGCTTGGTGTAAGTAAAAATTAGGCCCCTCATATGTGGGCAAACCYAAAGATTAACTGCCATTTCAAGAATTTATTAATAAAGGAATATGCACTGCTCAGCACTCTTAGGAAACAGAGGCTTTTAGATTCCTCTGCTCGTGCAGGTCCAAGGCAGGTGGAGCAGCAGCTGCTCCAATTGCTCATCCCACAGAGCTGAGCTGGAATAAGTTGGTACAAACCTCTGGCCTGAGCCCTTCCCAAATTATCTGATGAACCATTGAATCATGGAAAATTCAAATGGTGTGACAAATTAGCACCTAAACAAAAGCAAAGGTTGGATTAATTCTTGAAAAGACAAAGCTGTGATGGAAACCCTGCACCCTTAGTTTGACTCGAGCTCCGGGTGTGCATCCCAAGGATGCTGGGAGATGCTCCCTGCTGTTGAGGTTGTTGGTTTTCTTGCATATTTTACCCTATAWTGACACCTAAGAGCTCCCYAGGGAGCAGAGCACAGCAGAGAGGACAAATTTAACAGAAGATAAATTTCCTCACACTCTCATTTTGGGTATTCTCAGTACTGAGGTGAGAGTCACATCCACATTTTGATAGTTTGTGAATGTGACCCCTGACAGAGTGAGACAGAGGGGACTCACTGGTGGGACAGAGGACGGAAAGTTGGGGAAAAAAGCCACTGATTTTAACTTTGATATATCAAGTCTGGAGAGGTCCTGAGTTGAATATACTTGCATTCCTCCCCATGTCCATATGTTATTTATGTAGCAAAAAATGTGCCTTAAACTTAGCAAGACAGGTTGAGTGAAACCCAAGTGGACAAAGAGGTGGTGTAGGTGTGAGAAGGACCTTCAGGGAGCACAAATTGGCTTTACTCCTAATGCAGACTTTGAAACTCCTGAGGCGATGCAAATTACGCCATAAGGAGAGGTGAATATTGAAATGAATCCTCCAGCTCCTTCCTCCAGGCCCTTCCACGCCTGGAAACTTTCCTTGCTGATTTCAGTGTGCTGATTTCAGGTAACCTCTGGGCTTGAGGTCTGTAGTGAGCATTTTCCCACCAGGAAATTTGGGGAATTGGATCATTCAGCCTCAAGGTGGAATTGCACTGAGATGATGCTAAAGGGAGCAGCTCTGATCCTGC